TCAGCAATGATCTTGCGGATATGTGCGATGACTTCGTCGTGGAACGGGCCCAAGTCGAGGTGACTTCATATATGCGCCGTCTCGAGTAGCAGCTCCGCGAACATGTTGCATGTAAGGCACAGATATACCTTGATAGTACAAAGCCTCAACAGCGAGTTCAGTCAGTGTCGGAACATCCTGAAGTGCGTAGTAAACATTCTTCTCCAGGTTCGTGAATGTACGGCTGCCCTTGGTGTCCCGCAGCTCATCAAGTACCGTCGAGATTGCGTGCCGTTTCCACAAACAGAATCCTGCGCCATCACCGTAGGAGCCATAACGAGTGTTGCTAGTATCCGGAAAGACTAGTCGATAGCCAGAGCGAGCCTCGAGCCACCAGCTAAAAGTGTCGTGATATCCCTTCTTGTCGTCCTTGTGATTGAACAGAGCCCCACAGAGTTGTACGAGCTTCACACCGCCGGAGGTTGACGAGTCAATGGCGCGTTGACGGTCAGCTGCGGAACCTGTTGAAGCAGATGCGGCATTGAAGACATTCAACAGCTTCATCGGCGGCTCGAGTCCACGAGCTGCCCACATCGCCATCATAGCTGCATTCCCACCTATTCAGATTATGAGAACGTGTACATACGATGATGGAAATGCTTACCCTTAAAAGTGTTGAGTTCCTTATGCATACAGCATCCTGCACGAGCGAAAAAGTCGAGACCGGTCCTATCTTCCGGTGAGAGAGCATCATATGCACCAGTACCAAGGTAGAGACACATCTCCCGGAACACATCTGTGTCGTGCTTTGCCTGTTCCATCGGCGATAGAGTTTTCCAAGCCTCCCAGCCACCAGCACGCGCGATCTTGGCATTGAGTAATTCCATAACTGATGCAGTGAAGTTATCCGTTGACTTGTTCAGAAATACACTCTCGCCGAGACTCAAGCGGGAGTTTACTTCTTTCCAATCTTTCCAACGGTTGACCAGAGAAAACTGATCATTAGAGTGGTCGCAAGCATAACCGAAGAGCACCTGAGCAAGATCCCGAACCACAAGCTTCTTCGGAGCAGACTGTGCAGATGGTCGACTGTTCTGAATTGCGTGCATAGACTCAAGTGAGCTAATCCAGCCATCATGTTGTGCCTGAGAAGTATGAGACCCAGCAGAGCTGATGCCAAGAAACCAGTGTCGCGTAGTGTAGGTTCCCAAAGATTGCGTATCCAGTGATTCAGTGTCCGGATCCAGTAGAGCTGGCGAAGGTGTGAACTGTGTCGTGATGGCACATTTTGACACATAGTTTACATGGCGATGTGTTGTCCCATCGCCACTCAGAGTGATGCCTGAATTGTATGGTTAATGGGATATCCTTGATGTACGCACACAACTTACCATCCGCATCATGCAATGCATTGGTTATCTGAATTTTGGAAGCTATTCCACCTTCGCGAACAGCCCGCTGAACAGTTCGGCGGCTGATATCCCTGAGAACCGTGATATCAAGCTCATCTGCAACTGCATGCACAACATCATTCACACGATGCATCGGAACTTTGCATTTGGAAACAAGCTTCCGGGCAAGAGAACGGGTCCGGTCCGTGTGTATTCCTTTGTGTTTCAGCCGAAAGTTGTGAGAACGACGGGATAGCTTCTCTGCTTCTTTTTTCGCAGCTACAGCGGCCTTCAGTCGCTTTTGTGCACGGACTCGTTGTGCACGGATCGCGTTGCGCTGCTTGACAAGGACATGGAGGCGCGCAGACAGAGTTGTGGCCAGAGCATTCTTCGCAGCAAGGTCTCTGAGTAGACACAAGTTCTGGAGCCGGAGATCTTCCAGATCAGCCAAGAGACATGCAACCCGATCATTCAGCGCGTGAATATCATCCAGAAGGCCGTGAACAGAGTCGGCTTGAGCTTCGAGATTGCCGGCCATCAGCAGAGAGCAGTCCAGTTGCTCATTCAGATCAGAAAGCCTATTCCGAAGAAGATCTCTTGTGTTCTGGGCCCGCTTCTTCTGTTTGAGTTCGTTACAACTCTTCCTCCTGTAGTGATCCAGAGAGCCGGTAGCTTTCTCCAGAGCAGCAGAGACCAGCACGAGTTTTGCCACAGTCAGGTCCATAGCCATCGAGATTTCGGTGTCCAAGTTCGTAGAACTATCACCTAGATGAGCCTTGGGGCCGATAGTCTGGAGATGTAACTTCTGGAGCGCGGATCGCTTGGCCATCTCGAGCTTTCGCCAACTCCGCGAGGCGTGCCGATAAGGTGGCGGGCAAGTTTCCGCTGCTTAGATAAGCAGATCCGGGAGTTTGGGCCCGTCTCCTTGAACACCGCGCTGAGCTTTGGCCACAGGATCATTATTGCGGAAAATATTAGTGGAAGCCCTCAGAGTACGTCCAAACATTATGTTGGGAACAGATTTCCGTATTTCCTTGGTTTTATCCCTTCAGAATACAAGGATCTCACTATGTAGGCCGAAGACGCGAATTCTATTACCAACATTTTGTCCGGAAAGTCTCGATAACCAACTTCCCTCTGCAAGATGTTCTGTGAACTGTTGTGCCGGGCACGTCAACCACCTCGGACGTACCACGAGCCGTTCTTACCGTTGCGAGCCAAGGTGGCTGACGCGTGTGAACTTACGTCGGAGCGGGAAATTCTCGCTGGCGTTGCTCATCCCCA